TGCACATCATAATAAAGGGTAATAAAAATATATCTAAACTATACTTCATAGGATGAGATTAACATCCATGTGCATTACTTTCTAGTAGAGTTGTGTCATGTACACTTCTACATAATAACTAACTTAAATATAAACTAGAACTAAACAGTTGTAATGTTAGTGCTTCAGTGAGATCTCTAAATGAATACAAATGGATAAAATATTAATAAGGAAAAGTAGATAACTGTGATTAAACTTTTGGATATATCAGATTAAATGTAGACTGGCAGCGTCATTGCTATGCGCTTTTTCCAGGAGTATAGTTTATTTCAAAGAGTATACAAGTTAATAAGAGGGTTTACCTTAATTTAAGTTTTATACCTAACCTTTCACTCCACCAAAGACGTGGTTTCATGTACGCATGTTTGTCGTGCAGGCAGAAAACACCATCGCGAATGCAAATTACATTTGACATTCATAAAAGCTTCTCATTTGGGTTAAGTCATAATAAATAGATACACATTAATAAATTATTATAATTATATTAGGTATAATGTTATATTTATTGATAAATAAATAAAATCATTGGCATCAAATGTAAGAATATAGCTGGGGCATGACCTGAATATAATACCTGAAATTAATAACAACATTTGAGTCACAATATTCATAAATACATTTGGGGATACACTAATAAACAATATAAGGTGAGGAAATTGTGGAAGATTAAAAGGACAAGTGTTGGAAGGAATGATAATATGAATGGCTACAAATCTTATAATTCTGTTTATTGTAAATAAAGACCGTTTCCAATGAAAATATATTATTTAAATAATTAATAATATACATTAAACGTATGCATATTGTATGAAACACACATAATAATGTTATTTGTCACTTTCCATAATAATTATGAGTAATATATACAGGGTGTTAGGTAAATGGGTATATGAGCCAACACTAGCCCATGTTAACATGGTCATATAAATGGTATGGTGAAGTCAGAAAATTGATATCATCATTTTAATTTTTTTAAATTTCATACAAAATAATTTTTATAAAATCCGATTTGTATGAAAATTTAAAAATTAAAATGAAGATATAAATTTTCTGACTTCACCATACCATTTATATGACCATGTTAACATGGGCTAGTGTCGGCTCATATACCCATTTACCTAACACCCTGTATATATATGTAATTTTGCTTATTCAGTTGATATTGGTTGCATAATAATGAGCACTATGTAGTAAAATAAGTAGGTATATGTATAAATACCACTTACCAAATCAATGGCTAGTGCAGGCAGGAGACACCGCGGTGCGGCGCCGACTTGAAGGCTGACTGCAAACAAAAAACACGGTTATTTATTTATTGAGGATTCATACAGGGATAGTTACTATTTCACTAAACGACATACTAAAAGCCTACATAATTATGGGACTCTTAACTTGCTAACTTGCATTGAAGGTTGAAGCTGAATCCCTTCCTCAATTTAATCATTACTAAAGTGCAAGTATTTAAATGAAAAGATCATTTCTGGTCCTTTATGGGCAGCTTTAAGTCTGGAGTGGAGGCCGCGTACCGGAAAACGCAGCGTGGGACGTCCACCCACAAGGTGGACCGATACGTAAAGGTAGCAGGAAGGCGCTGGACGCAGGCCGCTACTAACCGGGCAACATGGAAAGCATTGGGGGAGGCCTATGTTCAGCAGTGGACGTCCTGTTGCTGAGATGATGATAAATAAATTTTTCTAAACACATTAGGGGCTTACAAATTAAAGTTTGTGTCAGCAAATCCACAGAACTGTAGATGAAAGCAAAATAAATCATACTAACCTCGTTATCTTTCGACGCAGATGCCATCGTCGCCGCATCGCTTCCGCGCCCGGCTCCCTGCGCCCAGCCCACGACGACGAAACATGCAGCAGTGGGGATTAGTATAGGGAAATGATACCTACGAATGAACTAAATGACTGGGACAAAGGGGGAAGTAATTGATCGGTAAGGACAATAGTTTCACTAGAAATTTGAAAAGTGCAAGGGGTTTGTGATCAAATTTAAAAGAGAATTTATTATTTGAAATGAACTAATAAAGACTGACGAATAATAATCTAATTTTGTCTGAAATGAGCCTAACAAAGGAATAAAGTAACAAGCAATCACTAGTTTTTGTGTGTGAGTAACAATCATCCATCAATTCTCACAAAATTTTGCAGCTATAATATTAGTAGAATAGGTTAGGAAAAAGGATAAACTTGCCTTGTGTAGTTGTCTGAAGCTTGAAGCGGGTGGAAGCTCAGGCTCGGAGCTCGCAGCTCAGCCATGAAGCTCGCAGCTCAGGCACGCAGCTCGTAGCTCAGGCTCGGAGCTCACAGCTCTCGCGTAGGTCGACTCAGCCCGGTGCTCGCGGCGGCGCGGCGAGCTCACGTCTCATGAGCCGACGACGACGAAACATGTTGCAGTGGAGATTAGTATACGGCAATGATAGCGCAATACAAGGGAGTGGAAAGTTGTGAGTGTATCTATGAGACTGTAAGTAGAACTGATACTAGACTAACTAACTATGGTTAACGAGAAAATTACTCTAAACTAATGATCAAACTAACTGGAATGTTTACTATCATCTTGGGTGAGTCAACAGTTACACCAATATTACTCAATTAATACAAAATTACATAAAATAACTGTTTATTAAAGTTGATAATGATGTAAATAAATGTAAGTACAACCTAATATAATGTAAAAAAAAACTTTTATTATTATTACTAGCGGCCGCCCGCGACTTCGTACGCGTGGATCCCGTTTTACCCCCTTCATCTATCTTACGCGGTTTAGATTTTTTCATACAAAAGTTTTTTCCCGCTAACTCCCGTTCCCGTGGGAATTTTGCAATATCCTGTTGTAACTAAGCTTTAAGTTTACTAAGGTACCTGCATGCCAAATTTCAAGCGTCTAACTTAAGCGGTTTAAATTTTTTATACAAAAGGATTTTCTTGCTAATTCCCGTTCCCGTGGGAATTCCAAAGTATACTATAAACTGCCTAGGAGTATGAAGAATAATTGTACCAAGTTTCGTTAAAATCCGTCGAGTAGTTTTTGTTTCTATAAGGAACAGACAGACACAAAAATTTTACTGATTGCATTTTTGGCATCAGTATCGATCACTAATCACCCCCTGATAGTTATTTTGAAAATATATTTCATGTACCTACAGAATTGACCTCTCTACAGATTTATTATAAGTATAGATTATCATGAATAAACAAATTACCTTCCATAGTTTCAAGCAGGCGACGTTCAGGCTCTGAGCTCAGGCGCGAAGCTCGCAGCTCAGGCCCGAAGTTCGTAGCTCAGGCTCGGAGCTCGCAGCTCTCGCGTAGGTCGACTCAGCCCGGTGCTCGCGGCGGCGCGGCGAGCTCACGTCTCATGAGCCGAAGACGACGAAACATGTTGCAGTGGAGATTAGTATTCGGAAATGATATGAGCGATAAAGGGTGAAGGAAATAATTGGGCGAAATTATGAAAGACCAGTAGCTCAATTTGTTTTTACTCAATAGCCAATTTGTTAGATACTCAAAACATTTTAGGTGGGGCAGAGTAGGGACTAGAGACAGGAGGCGTGGCTAAGAGATAAGACTTAATAACTTATATAACCCCCCTTCTGGTACAGTCGGGAAAAAAATGCCTACCTGCGTTTTTTCTCGTGGCTGCTGTCAGTTGAAAGTCGACCGTATCGATTACGACGCATTGAGGCGGTAAGGACGAGAACCCTTTCGCCTGTGAATGCAAAAACAGCAATATTTCATTGAAGTGTTAAAGTAGTAAATAAATTGGCAGGCATTGGTCAGAGTATTTTTAAAGAAGCAAGCTAAACTATTTAACTGGACTGTAATTCAGCTCTATCATTAGATTTAAAAAAAAAAATCAGAATTTTCATCATCTGGTACCCAAGCTTTGCTTAGTTCAAGACTAGATAGCACATCATAAAATGTTCAAGGTTTTAACCGAGTCCGGATCTTTCTAGTCCAGTTGATTGCAAACAATAATATGTAGTAGTTTTGAAGAGTTCTTCAATTAACAAGCATTTCAAGAACCAAGGAAAGCAAGTCAAATTAGCAAAGCTTTAACTGCAGTCAATGGAAAAGAAGCTCAATGAAAGATACTAAGATAGACAAACTAATTGGCAAAAGCTGAGCAGAACTTATCCACGCTGTATTCACAACAATACCTTGGAAATTGGAATACTTTCACTTTAAAGACTGATCTGAGTGTGAGGACTTTCAGGCTAGAAATATTAATCAATCTAATCCACAGGAAATTTGGCACAACTAGGAAGCTAAGCTCTTATCTTATCTTGGCCTGTTTCTCATGACGGACTGATTATCAGGCCGGATGTGGAAGCAAACTGTTCATGGACAAGTTCCACTCTGTTCCACACATTTACCATCTAGGCAGTTGGTTTAAGACAATATAAGTAGGCGAAAATTAATTAGAAATTTAAGATAATGTAGAAGTTTTTTTCTATTTTTTTTTAAAAGATTAGGTATAGTATTAGTAATTTGTTTAGTGTAGTAGTTTAGTAAACCATCCTACGATGAATGATCTATATAGCATAAACCAACAGTTGGGTATTTAGCTGGCCTGCCCCTTCAGTCTTACAACTACAAAGGGCCGCTACAAAATTGACCATCTAAAGAATAAAGTGTCAAGTAGGCTATTCGTTGCTTAAAGTTTCATCATCTCTGAATAATCATAAAACACTTTTTATTTTACTTGCTAAGTTAGGTACAAATAGGTAATCAGGAAGTAACTAATAGGAACTTTACTCAAGAGATGGTGAAGTGATTCGATGTATTCGTCTGAACTTACGATACATTTCAAAGGAACATCGTTAGTCTACCTACCCACTTGCAACTCGTGTAAGCATGGCCCATTGACGCACTACAAATACGAATAAGTTGTTACAGTAGTCTACGTTTATTGAAATACATTTACATATTCTGTAACCACTAGTAGGTACTAGTAGGTAGGACTGGTGTCTGACTAATTAGCTCATTATGTAAGTAATTAAATGTAGGTAGGTACCTTTTCAATCTTGCCATGCCGACGCGACGCGACGCTGAGAACATTTTCAAAATGGCGAACCAACGAAGCCAGACTTGGATCACCTAGTGTTGACCCCACAGGACCTGAAATCACATAGACGATCGGATTATTTACTTTAACAAAACAACTTCGTAGGTTTCACAAACATAACTATGTAGGTACTAGGTTTGTTGTGTAAACTTGAAAATGAAATAGAATAGCGCCGGCAATATGGCCGCCATCCAATAGAATTCGGAAATTTTAGCTTATAACATAAATAATAATACTTGAGCCTGTAGCGAAACTAGCTCGTATTTAATATTATTAAATCTATGTGTAATAAAGTAATTGAAATTAACTGATACTTACGAGATTTTCAAGCACATTTCGTAGGCAGTCTTCGGGACACTGTATTGAGGGGTCACAACAGGCTCCCAAGTTAGTAGTTATATTTTCACGTTTTGACCTAATTTAATGTAAACTTCTGACGAGTTTTTGACACAGTTTAATTGCAAATTAACAATATTAAAAGCCCTAAAAACAAAATAACAGAAGACGCCGGCCGGCCATTGCAGGAGAAGTAAATAAAAATGGCGTCAAGTCAACAAAATAAAAAAGGAAGTACATCATGAATGAATGATGAATGACGCTATCAAATATCTAATCAAAATCGGAAACGGAAGTAAGAGAAATAGTGACGTTCCTCGCGGGAAAGTTTATACAAAGATCGATAGTCGAAATTGCACTCTGTGTTACTCTCCATTTTTAATTATTAGGATTTTTTTATAAAAAAATTATATTATGCCATTTCAATTTAATAAATAATTACAATTGTATAAAATATAAAAAATATGTGTTAGCTCTTTATGTTATGTATTTAATTTTAAGGTCTTGCTTGATCTTTAAAAACATTACAAGTATGCTTTAATTAAAACACAGCGTTAGCTTTACGACATTTATTTGAATTGACAAGATGACAAGCAACAGAAAGAACAAACTATAGAAAAGAATAGAAAAATAAACTACGTATAAAACCTTCTTCTTTTTTGTTTCAACTTAACAGCTTTCAGTTGAAACAAACATTAGGTATACAAAACTCACATACGTAACTTATTTTATAATAAATAAATAGTAATAAACAAATTTTGCATTTAATATATATATATATTACAATAATTTATTTATGTATTAAGTAAAAACATAACATCTATAAAAAAATATGTATGTACTATAATACATGCTGCAATGAATAATTAAATAAATGAATTCGATTATTTTTCTTTCTTGATCGATGTTGCCTACATCACTATGAGCAAAGATTATTATGGTGGGGGGGATCCTTTTTGAAAACGGATACGGAATGGGCGTCAACCAAGTTTGGGATGGAAGCGCGGGGAAGCCAAATGCGACTATTTGATTGGTTGATGCCCGCTGCAGCACAGAATACATCAGTTTGTTTTAACTGCATTTTTTTATTGGCACTACTGAAACTGCCATAAGTACCTGATTAGTAGACTTCCGGTTCTGGTCCAATAAAATGATTATTAATTGTTCAAATAAGTAATAACGATTAACACTATAACGTTATTAGTATTTCAAATAAATTCGCTACAAAAATAAATTAAGATTTGATAGAGTTCTGGGTTTTTAATTATTCAGATACTAGCTTTCCGCCCGCGGCTTCGCCCGCGTGGAATTTTGTCTGACACAGAAAAACTTTATCGCGCGCGTCCCTGTTTCAAAAACCGGGATAAAAACTATCCTATGTTCTTTCCCGGGACTCAAACTATCTCTATGCCAAATTTCATCAAAATCGGTTGCGAGGTTTAAGCGGGAAAGCGTAACAGACAGACAGACAGACAGACAGACAGACAGACAGACAGACAGACAGAGTTACTTTCGCATTTATAATATTAGTTGGGATTTTGATTGTTATTTGTTATTTTATTAAGGCAATTTTTAAATGGTGCCAATATTGGTGGGAAGTGGGGAATGGGGATGCATACGTTTGAAAGTGCTTGTCGCGGGAGGGTCGATTTCTGTGATGACCAGTGTATTAAGTAAGTCCATTTTACGCCACGTCAACTATTTGAACTCGATACGAAAGAAAATCGAAACTTTTTCGTGCTAGATGTTTATTTCTCTTTATGACCTTTCTTCGAATCGGTAGGTAACCCCAAAATCCTGGGGGGTACCAGGGGGTGCCTTACGACTTATGACGGGGGGAAGGGGTGACCGCCCCGGGTGCCAACCCATGCTACGCCGCCACTGGGCAGTGGGCGGCGCACATTGCTCGCAGAGCTGATGGCCGCTGAGGCAGGAAAGTTCTTGAGTGGCGATCACGAACCGGAAGACGTGGCGTGGGCAGGCTTCCCACTAGGTGGACCGATGATCTGGTGAAGGTCGCGGGAGGTGGCTGGATGCGAGCGGCGCAGGCCGGTCTTTGTGGAAATCCTTCGGGGAGGCCTTTGTCCAGCAGTGGACGTCTTTCATAGTACGAGAGCCCACGACCAAAATTTTTGTCTCATAGCAATACGGCCAAAACCGCATCAAATCGATAGATACGATTATCCTGAACTCGAAAATACCAATATCAGACATTTTCCGCGTAGCGTTTGATCTGACCGAATTTTCAAAATTGTCAAAGAATTTTACCGAACTGCATCATAGCAATATGTCTGATTTGCAGACTGTAGTTGAATGATAGTTCTGAGATACCGGAAACATTATTTTCAGACGTTAGTGGTATAGCGCAAACCCGTAAAATCACTTAAAAAAATTAAAAATGAGACAAAAAAAATGTCTCATAGCAATACGTCTGAAAATCTTTTTTATTAGTAAATTTTGGTTATTTGATGCGAACAAAACAATTTTCAGACGGAAATGTGAACGCATTAAATTTTGAGACCGTTTTGAAAATGTTAACAAATTTTACCGATCGGTATCATAGCAATATGTCTGAAAATTGTTGGACATGATAAAATAAGTTGTCCACATGTGCAAACAATTTATATCAGACAAATTAAGTGTAGCACCTTCTCTATCATACAACTTTTTGATACACTTAAAGTGTCTGAAAACAGGTTTTTGGTAATCATGGCAGCAATACGAAAAGTTGAAAAAAAAATTATCCGTATTGCTATGATACAGGTCGGCTAAATTTGATGACATTTTCAAAAATGCGCTCAGGCTATAATATGCTACGCGCAAAATGTCTGAAAACAAACTTTTTCGTAATACAATTATAAAATCTATGTACATTTTCACTATCAGACGTATTGCTATAATACCGACTGTCTTTTTTTTTTGACACAGCAGAAATGGCCTCCCACGCAGTTGCTACACTTTCGACCGTTACTACACACCTAGTCGGGTTCAGAATCATACAATCTAACGATTTTATAGGGTTTTTGCCGTATTGCTATGAGACATGGTTTTGGTCGTGGGCTCTCGTACTATCAGCTGAAACGAACGAACGAACGAAGTGTGGAGTCAACTCCCTTCCATTTCATCAGTACTTCTTTAGTTAAATCTTTATTTTGTAGATTTTTGAACGCCTGTGCGATCTGCATGAGCATCGATACAGTAGTAAAGGTAAAGAGAACTGTTGCTTTTCCTATTTACTAGGCATATGATCGTACTTGTAGCGAAAAAGTTTTTTAACCCTTAATCCTTCAAGGCCCGTGAATCTAGACACAATAGATAATCAATTGTTATGACATTAATTAATGCCGTCTGGGACTCAAGCGGTTAAATGCGCGACTTTTTATATTGCGATGAAAACCAAAAAGGCAATCAATAAAATTTTTGTCTGTCTGTCTGTCTGTCTGTCGGTCTGTCTGAATGTTCCTTATAGAAACAAAAACTACTAGATGGATTTTAACGAAACTTGGTACAATTATTCTTCATACTCCTGGGTAGGTTATAGTATACTTTGGAATTCCCATGGGAACAGGAATTAGCGGGAAAATCCTTTTGTATGAAAAATCTAAACCGCTTAAGTTAGACGCTTGAAATTTGGCATGCAGGTACCTTAGTAAACTTAAAGCTTAGTTACAACAGGATATTGCAAAATTCCTACGGGAACGGGAGTTAGCGGGAAAAAACATTTGTATGAAAAAATCTAAACTGCGTAAGATAGATGAACGGGGTAAAACGGGATCCACGCGTACGAAGTCGCGGGCGGCCGCTAGGGGGCATCCATTAATTACGTGAGACAATTTTGGCTATTTTTTTAACCCCCCCTCCCACCTTGGTGAGATTTCATGAGATTTTGCCAGAGCTCCTCCCCCACCCCCTAATCTCACGTGAGATTTTCGAGAATGCCTATATTTGCAATGTAGGTAAATAAGATAATCCATGCTTCGAAAATATTAGATTTTATAAAAAAAAACCGGCCAAGTGCGTGTCGGACTCACGCACAAAGGGTTCCGTACCATTGATTTATGAAATTAAAGTTATTTTTTTTTAATTTAAGTTATTTGTATGAAAGATTACGCGGTAATAAGCGGTTCACGATTTACGAGGTATTAAAAAAAACTGCTTACTAGATCTCGTTCAAAACAATTTTCGTTGGTAGTTTTTATAGTAGGTAATGTAGGTACATCATATGTTTTTTTACATTTTTCATTTTCTTATTTTAGAAGTTAGAGGGGGGGGGACTAACTTTTTTCCACTTTGGAAGCGTCTGTCACGCAAACTATTCGGTTCAGAAAAAAAATATTTTAGAAACCTCGCTATCATTCTTGAATACCTATCCATAGATACCCCACACGTATGTGTTTGATGAAAAAACAATTTTTGAGTTTCAGTTCTAAGTATGGGGAGCCCCCAATATTTATTATTATTTTTTTTATTTTTGCATCAAAATTTTAATGCGGGTCACAGAATACATCTACCTACCAAGTTTCAACAGTATAGCTCTTATAGTTTCGGAAAAAAATGGCTGTGACATACGGACGGACAGACAGACATGACGAATCTGTAAGGGTTCCGTTTTTTGCCATTTGGCTACGGAACCCTTAAAACGACCTGCGTAAAAAAATTAAGTGAAATGATAAAACAAAAGAACTTAGGCCCAGTTTTTTACTTTTAGTACAATTTTTAATTACCTATTAGTTTACATTTTGTTAATACAGTAGAACGCCGATTATCCGAATTAATTGGGACCGGGGTCGATTCGGATAATCGAAAATTCGGATAATCGGACATAGACCGGTAATAAAGAAAAAGCATGTTAAAAACGAACTGTCACACATAGAATAAACTTTAATAACTGTGTTTACAGTTCTATAATAACGCTCAGTTGAAATATATGTAGACTCCTGCGAGTTCCAACTTGTTACATCAATACAAAATAAAAATTACTTGGTTTTAATTTTTTATATTACGCTTAGGACCGATTCGGATAATTGGCGATTCGGTTAATCGGCGTTCGGATAATCGGCGTCCTACTGTATTTAAGTATTGGTAGCAAACTGCGGATCTAAAAACTGGGCCTGTGTTCACAAATGCAGACGGAGGATTTACTCTGTTTGTTGTGGAAAAAAATACGTGATATTGTCGACACCCCCCCTCTCCTCCACGTGAGATTAAAAGTGAGGTTTTTCTTTTAATTTTTCAATTTCGGTCCAGTTTTCACGGGTTCAGCGTTGCAGAACGATTTGATTGAGTATGCAGATTTGAATAAAAGGATTTTCAAGAACTTAAGAGGTGAAGTGAAAGCTGTTGGCATCAGAAAAGGCACCTTATATTGTCTACAAATGAGAGTTATATTACCTAATAATTCATGCATGTTTAGCAAAGAGCAGACTGACTTACAAACATGGCATGAGAGGTTATGTCATCAAAACATGCACCATGTTGAGAAAGTTCTAAAGGAAAATGGTGTACAACTTCAATCATCAAATAAAACAATTTGTGAAGGATGTTTTTATGGAAAAATGACACGTTTGCCATTTAATTCAAGGGAGGTAAGAGCAACATCTCCAGGGCAAATTATATGTTAGTATGCAGTATATTTATTGATGCCTTTGCGTGGTGACAACCTAAACCGTAGACAAGTTTGGCTCTCGTTCAACTTCCGGTCTCTCTCTTCCTGTTTGCGATGTGAGCAAGCACGGTGTGCATTTTTACTTTGTGCAATTTCTGTACTTACAATTAAGTTTATAGTAAACTTTATAAAGCTGCAAACTGAATTTCATTCAAATAACCTTAACAGTTTTTGATGGGTTGTGTTAACACGGACAACTAGGTACGGAATCCTACACTGCGCGTGTCACGACACGCACTTGGCAATTTTTTTGTTATTTAGTTTATTTTGCGTAAGCTGCCTAACATATCTACAACTGTAAATAAAACTAGTCACATAAGAATTAACATTTTAATATCACAACAATAACAAGTCACTGCGCCCTCGGCACACGGAGGGCGGAGGGCGGAGGCCTATAGCAGCGGGATGCTGGGCCGGTCGAGCATGCGGCAGGTGTTGGGCGCGGCGGCCATGCGCACGTAGCCGCGGTCCTGCAGGTGCGCGCCCCACGAGTTCTTCACGATGAAGTACGGCTCCCCGCGCGCGTCGCTGTTGAAGCCCACCGCCAAGCTGGCGTGGTTGTACCGCCGTCGCGCAGGATCATTCCCACTGAAATCGTAACAAAAGTTTTTGATTCATTTCATTCATTCAATATTTTATTACGACTGAGTTAAAACTAGAATTGATTAGAGATACAATAACACTATGCTAGAAATAGGTACTCTCAGTACTTAACGCGATCGAAACTCGTAAGTACATATTAAATAATTTAGGTAGGGTGGTGGCACCAAATATCGGCCATGTCAACTTTTTTTGGAGTTTGTTCACTGCTTGTAATTTTTACATTAATAGCTTTTGCTTTCTTGCAATGCCCTTTTTGGGTAGAGGGATAGTGAAACTTCATTACTACATTCGCAAAATTACGAATCATTTGTTGATAATACAGGGTGGAAACGTTAAGTGATCTCACTCGATTATTTCTAAACTATACATACAAGATATCTAAAAACTGGTTACTGATCCTGAAAGTGCTTCACGAGCTCTTTCAAATGGTACTAATAATAGGTTACAGAATAAACTGTAACTATACGAAAATTCAATGTTTCCAGCTTCCATACTAAATGTATGCCAACCACACAGTATTAAAAGTGTATTTTTTTTTAAATTTAATAATAAACTTAAAATAAACTCATAATTTGCATTCTTATTTATAATTATTTATAGAAAATATTAGTTTTAGGCTTTACTTGCTATAATAATTATCAAGAAATGAGTGCCATGACTGTGGTAGTACTAAATGTATGGAAAATGGAAACATTGAATTTTTAGATAGATCCAGTTTATTCTGTAACCTATTGTTGATATCGTTGGATAGAGCTCGTGAAGCACTTTAAGGATCAGTAACCAGTTATACGATATCTTGTGTAGTTTTCAATAATTTGTGGCTTTACCAAATGTATGGAGGCTGGAAACATTGAATTTTCGGATAGATCCAGTTCATTGCTTTCGGGGACTGGTCAATCCAAGTTATTCAAATTTATTAATGCGAGTCATTTCTACTAGTATTTAAGTATCTTAATCTGTAAGTCTAGATATTAGCACTATTACATAAAATAATATACTTGATAAAATATTGAATGTTTATTTACATGACTGTGTCATAACAATGAAATCGCATGTTGCTAAGCAACCATAAAGAAGGTCAGACATGACACGCCTCCGCCGTGATTCCTGGCTGCAGCACTGCTGGCACCAGTGGCGCCGGCAGCAGCTGGTCTAGATGGCGCGTCCAGGTCAGACCGTCGTCCGTACGCACGACATAGTGCAGCTTGCCCAGGCGCTGTACCACTGTGGCAAATGTCCACTTCTGAGCGGAGCTTCCGTAAAGTCTAGCCTGCACTCTGTCTCCACAAACAAAATGTCTTGTATGTGAGGCATACAAGACATTTTGTTGATAAAATAATTAATAATTTCTCCTTGATAAAATATTGAATGTTTATTTACATGACTGTGTCATAACAATGAAATCGCATGTTGCTAAGCAACCATAAAGAAGGTCAGACATGACAAGCACGTTACTACCTTGTTTAATATGCCACGCAATTTTGTATACCCATTCTTATAAGATACACCATACAAGAATGCGTGGTAAATTCAGTGAACTGCTCCTGAATCAAATGTACCTACTACGCTTTTTCTATTTTTTATATTAACCGGCAGACAGTGGTGACTGAGTTTGTTGCGGCGACTTTGACTTTGATTATGTAACCTATTATTGGTACCGTTTGATAGAGCTCGTGAAGCACTTTCAGGATCAGTAATTAGTTTTTTGATATCTTGCATAGTTTAGAAATAATCGAGTGAGATCACTTATCGTTTCCACCCTGTATAGATGTTTTTTTTCGAGTATACCAATTTCCCTTAATATCCGCCTCTAACACCCTAATATCCGCCGCATGTGACCCTAATATCGGCATACCTTTTCTAAAGCGAAGTAAAGTCAATAAGACTACTAAAGTAATAATTAACTTTTAAAAAAAATAAAACCGACTTCAAATGCGTGAACACAAAAAAAACTAAAAATTAAAAATATTGCGTATAAAAAAGTTCATCCTTAATTTTCCACCCATGAAATATTTTCTTCAAATTCGCATGAAACCACCCTTTTCAACCGACTTCAAAAAAGGAGGAGGTTCTCAATTCGACCCGTATGTTTTTTTTTTTTTTTTTTTTTTTTTTTTTTTTTTTTTTTTTCTTTATTCTATGTTTGTTACGCGATAACTCCGCCAATTATGAACCGATTTGAACAAATCTTTTTTCGGCGTATAGGTAATACCTCAAGGGTGGTCCCATTTAAATTTAATAATAAAAAAACAACCCCCAAGGGTGGAAAATTGGGGATGAACTTTTTTATACGCAATATCTCCGCCGATTATGAACCAATTTTTTTTGGTCTCAGTGTACTGCCTACCTTCAGTGGTAACATCAAGGTAATAATTAGTTAACTAAAAAGCAAGAAATAAGTAAAATTTTATAAAAAAAAATAAAACCGACTCCAAAAAACCTACACTAAAACGTAGAAAAATAATTACTAATTACCTACTTATTTATTAGGACGAATTATTAATATTTATGTAGGTATACCATGATTGATACTTTTGGAGTCGGTGCAGGCAAACTTTACATGTTTCATAATCTTGGCACCGACTCCAGAAGTATCAATCATGGTATACCTACATAAATATTAATAATTCGTCCTAATAAATAAGTAGGTAATTAGTAATTATTTTTCTACGTTTTAGTGTAGGTTTTTTGGAGTCGGTTTTATTTTTTTTTATGATAATACCTATTCAACAAAAAAATAATCGTTCAAATTGATTTATAATCGGCGGAGATATTGCGTATAAAAAAGTTCATCCCCAATTTTCCACCCTTGGGGGTTGTTTTTTCTATTATTAAATTTAAATGGGACCACCCTTGAGGTATTACCTATACGCCGAAAAAAGATTTGTTCAAATCGGTTCATAATTGGCGGAGTTATCGCGTAACAAACATAGAAAAAAAAAAAAAACATACGGGTCGAATTGAGAACCTCCTCCTTTTTTGAAGTCGGTTGAAAAATATTAACGATTTATATTTCAACTCGGGTACAAATCGCTTTTCTTAGCTCTTATCTACCTATCATTATTAATGAAAAACCATTGCAGACCATTTTTAACCGACTTTAAAAAAGGAGGAGGTTATACATATAATTATGTTACACTGTACCTATGTATTTTTTTTCTAGATGCATGTTCACCGATTACTCCGTCTATTGTGGACCGATTTTCAAAATTATTTTTTTGTTCGATAGGGTACACTTCTGAGGTGGTCCCTTCTATTGTGGTAATGACGGACAAGTACGGAACCCTACACTGTGCCACGTGCGCGTGGCACGGACACGCACTTGGCCAATGTTTTTTTGACATGTTTTTCTTCGATAAAAATAGGTCTATGCACAATGCACATGTTGTTATATTATAACACATAATTTCCCTCTCTTCTCGACTGATCTCCTCTGCTCTGACTTACCATCTTTCGTCGGAATAGACGCCCTCTTTGTAAAATATGAAGGAATACGCTCCAGCGTCGTACATGATCACGGCCGGCCCGTAGTCGTGGATCGCCAACTAGAAGAGAATTTAATGATAAAGTAACATCTCGCTTACCTAATTCATTATGGTCTCAAAACGTCATAAAGGTGATATTATGGCCTCAAGACTATTAAGTTTCTAACATGATTTTAGCCATGCAATTGCCACGTAATAAGGTGGAAAGAGCGATAAGGATAATTATAATGAGGCAGGGAAACAGTAGATTTCATCGGGTGGACGAAAACAAGCAAACAAGTATTGTAACTATGTATGAGTATATCCGTTAAGCTAGCACCCATAACACAAGCATTTAATGTTGCTTACTTTGGGGCTAGCTGGCGCTGTGTGTAATAAATTGTCCAAAGATTTGTTTATTAACCGTTATAGTTTTCATTAGCCAACCACCTCTGTGGTCTAGTGGTTAGACCACTTGCTTCAGACGCAGAGGTCCCGGGTTCGATTCCCAGTGGGGGCAGATTTTTCTGTTCGGTTTGGTTGGTGGTAGGACTTGTTCTAAGTCCACCATCTTACCTAAGTCTGTCGCCTTATGGCGATGTTAACATTGTTGTTATCAACAATGTTAACAGCATTCTTGTGTTCCGGCAGTTAGAGGTAAGATAGCCAGTTCCTCTGTGTTTGAAGATTCCGGGTGAAGCTCGCTTTCACCTTTGGCCTGATCATCACTTACCATCAGGTGAGATACAGGCCAAGAGCTTCCTCGTTGTGGATAAAAAAAATTAGAAGTTCATGAAAAGCACTGCCATCATGATTTTTTCCAGATTTTTCAAGCCAGCAGTTTAGCTTTTAGATGGGGGGAGGGGTCATTTAAATAACCACCATTGAAGCTGAATCTCAAATAACAACAAGTATTACCTTAAGAGCGTCGACGTTGAGCGCGGTGACGTTGGCGTGGCCGCGGATGCGCACGCCGGGCGCCGCCGAGCGCCTGCAGGTCAGCTCCTGCAAGCATCGGGCCGTGATCCAAGTGCGTTGATAACGACGGTATAATCATTTCATTTAATTCTTGTGTGTTTTTAATAATATAATAAAATTGTGTCAGCGACACATTCCTAGGTGAATGATTCGTCGATCGAAACAGACATTGACGAAAACGTTTAAAACTTCAATTGGACAGTGGACACTGCAAATTACCAATCCTATTCTTCTTATGGCACAGTTTACACTTTGCGGAAAATCGATCGAGATAATATAACAGTTAGTTTCGCCGTGTGTCGTCCATACTTTGATGTGCGTGCTCGCGCTTCGTCTCGGTCAATTTCCCACAACTGAGCCATTAAGTGTGTTCTGAGTCCTTAGCTGTCCCGAGGCTACCCAATCGTCACTGGTTCAGTTTCATAAATTGGCGGCCAAAGATCCTAGCTACACAAGAGTTGGCTCCGTGCCAAATGAACTTTGAAGGGTTTGTTCATGGAGTGCGGCCTCACCATGTCGGCGAAGGGCGGGTAGTCCTCCTCGTAGGGCACGCCCTCGCGCTGCATGTACGTGTACGCGGCTACGGGCCACGTGGGTTCGCAGCCATTCCCGCCATACCTAAAAGTATAAGTAGGTAACTATATAAATGTCGGAAAAAAGCATGAAAAACTTTTTATAATTAGAAGCCGTGCAGTGTTGTGGCTAAAGCCAATGTTATAAATTAATAATTAACTTTTTTTTAAAAATAAAACCGACTTCAAATGCGTGAACACAAAAAAAAACTAAAAATTAAAAAAAGTTCTACCCTTGGGGGTGAAATATTTTCTTCAAATTCGCATGAAACCACCCTTTTGATAATACCTATTCAACAAAAAAATAATCGTTCAAATTGATTTATAATCGGCGGAGATATTGCGTATAAAAAAGTTCATCCCCAATTTTCCACCCTTGGGGGTTTATTTCTTTTTTTTTTTGTTGGCGAATAAAATTTATAATAATACATTAACTTAAAATGACTTAAAAACTAAAATTTTAAAATTACTAATGATAAAAACTATTTATTTACAAAATAAAAAATACTTCACCCCCAGCGCCGCAGTCAGGAATGGTGCCCAAAAGGCTGGCAGCATTGCCATGTTGAATGGCCAGGCTAATTCTCTGGCCGAAATAGCTGCCAGCCTTTTGATCACCGGTCACCTCGGTGAGCCTCTTTGCCAGTTCCTTATAAAAGGAACGAGCGCTTGGACCCCATGGTCCCATAGTCTCAACCCCAAACGGCACAAATATATAACTCTCATTGAGAGCTGCATATTTGCGCCGCTTGGAGCACTCAGCCGAGGCCGCCGCCGCGCCTGCGGCAAGGGAGGTACCTCCTGTATGAGACGGAGCAAGCGTATCCGCGCATGTTGCGTCCCACACAAGAGGACGTCCCTGCTTCCAGGGAATGAGCGTCATGCCGTCAGGTCTCTTGCCGTCGTCACGGAATATGCCGTTAGGCTCTAAAACTGCTGGCACATTGACGGCGACAAGAGCTCTGCGGATGACGTCATTGATGCAGGCGTGTCGGGAGACTCGACCAGCGCTCATTTGGCATGAGAGGCCATGGTGTCCTAACTCACCGACGCGAGTACCGCAACGACAGCGATGGGGATGGTTTGTCTTGACGCCAAGTCTAAGGGAAATGGCGAGGGACAGTGTACTCCTGTCAAGCAGAGTCCCGATATTGGCCGAAGGAAGAGCATGTAGCCAATAACCGGACTCTGCCTGAAAGACCGCTAGTAGGCGAGCACGCTCTGCAGCATTTTCAGAGGAAGCCAATAAATCACTCTGAAAACGCAAACAGAGCGGCTCGTCCCACTGCCTCTGAGACGATAGAGAGGTAGGTGGATCGGCTCCCGGGCATGCCCTAGTCCAAGCGTTTCTGGCCTCTGCGAGGTGAGCCAACTCCACTACCCCTAAAGAAGGGGACAGTAATTTATTAAAGAGTTCGGCTGTACCATACGCAGAAGACCCTTGGGGGTTGTTTTTTCTATTATTAAATTTAAATGGGACCACCCTTGAGGTATTACCTATACGCCGAAAAAAGATTTGTTCAAATCGGTTCATAATTGGCGGAGTTATCGCGTAACAAACATAGAAAAAAAAAAACATACGGGTCGAATTGAGAACCTCCTCCTTTTTTGAAGTCGGTTGAAAAAAAAACATACGGGTCGAATTGAGAACCTCCTCCTTTTTTGAAGTCGGTTGAAAATCAAAAACACGACTGCTTGCTTACTAATGACAAACCGGCCAACAATGGCTGGGTACAGAGAGGGTAGATAGAGTAGTAAGTGGTAGGGTAGATAGTTACCGCGCGCCGCAGTCCACGATGGCCTGCGGGTTGAGGCGCCGCAGCGCGCCCGCGCGCCGCGCCAGCGCCGTCTCCACCGCGTCCGTCGTCGACAGCGCCCAGCAGCACTGGCAGTTCATTTGCGCTGCGATAGACATAGTACTTCAGTAAGTAACATTTTACTTTGTCTAGCTAGGAGGTCTCAATAGTCAACGGTTGTTATTGCATTCCATTTTTAACCCCCGACGAAAAAACGACGGGGTGTATACATTTGAAGTGTCTGTGTGTCTGTGTGTGTGTCTGTCTGTGGCATCGTAGCTCCCGAACGGGTGAACCGATTTTGATTTTGTTTTTTTTTGTTTGAAAGGTGATCGTCGGGAATGTTCTTAGCTATGTTTGATGAAAATTGGTCCAAGATGGCCGCCGCAACATACATATATGTATTTTTAACAACTCCCTCAATATGGGTATCAAATGAAAGGTCTTGAATAATAGAGAATACTGTGTCATAAAAAAATTAAGAATTGACCTTCAAAAAGCATGAAATAAAAAAAAATAATCAAAAATTTTAAAATCCCCCGACACAAAAAATAAACTCTAAAAACTAACAAATAATATTTTAAACCTATAATAAATTTCGCGGCGGGGTATACCGCTGAAAAATCTGAAAAGGGTCTGACTTAGGCCTAATTCGCACGAGAGTTTAAACAGCGTTGCGTTATAACTAGCGATGGGCCGACTATGGTCTTTGCCGACTAACCGACTAGCCGACTAATCGGTTTTCAAATTGCCGATTAGTCGGCCGACTAATCGGCAATGCCGATCATTCTAATACCTACTTGTCCGAAGAATAATATCTAGATTTTTTCAAAGAAATATGAATATCTAGATTTCTAAAGAGATAAATATAACTTCTTGAGAAATGAGATTTCTATAATATGAGAAAAAATAAAAAGCAACATTACAATCACCTAACAGTACCTAAGGTAGATGTCATAATTTTCGACGGCGGAGGGGTCAGAGGAGGTGACAATATGATCGCCTCCTGCTGGGCTATGATGCGCGGCGTGATATTATTCTTACTTATCGACATCAAAATGTATAGGCAAAATTGCACTTATCGCGGCACGCATCCTAGGCCCACTGATTCCTCTCCACCTGTGATAGTTGATGGCTTTGTCCGGATTCCCATAGTTCTTCACACTAAGGAGATCGCAACTTGACTTTCATTGGTTGGGTTTTTGTGGCGGTCAAGCTGTAGATCCTGGCTACACAGGAGTTGCAGTGGTGGGAACGAGAGGTGGGAATAGTCCCGTAAGGAGATCGCAGGAGCTATTTATGTGGGTATTCCTCATCCTTCTGATGAGAGGAGCCCCACATAATCTACCACTTCCCCACAGGATAGGTATGCAATTCCATGCAATTTTTCCCCAAAAAAAAAGTGACATAATTTTATATGGACAAATTACATAAACTTTACACATTTTTGATGATTTTCTGGTAATTTAACTTATCTTAACTTTGTATGAATTTAGAGACTGATTGCCAAAATTTTAAATCAGGTGAAACCACTTTTTACTGATTTTTTGCAGTTAAAAGTGGTTTAAATAAACGCCCTTGATCTACCTCATAATTATCTTGGTGATTATGAGTTTATTTCATTCACATATTTAATTTTGTAATGCGCCGATTATAATCGGCATATTTTGCCGAATAGTCGTCACTAGTCGGCCGACTACAAATTATGCCGAATAGTCGGCTTTCCCGACTAGTCGGCGACTAGTCGGCCCATCTCTAGTTATAACCCGGCGTCGGCGCTTTTATAACGTCCTCAATGTGATCATTCATACGAACGCTTTTAAATCACTTTCGTCTCGTCCCTCGCTTTAGTAAGACGTGGGAATTGTTTCTGCTAAATTACTAGCAATAGCGATTTGTGTTGCTAGAAGACGAAGAAAGAAACAAAGGACATTCTGGGTACATCCTCTGAATGAACAGAGATACTTAAAAGGACAGTTTGTGACACTGTACGAAGATTTTTGTTTTCTGGCGAACTTATATTATTATTGAGTAATAAGGGACTTTGAACCGTTGTTGAGCTTAATGAGTCTGTATTCGATGGAGATGGACAAATATTTGGGTTGAAAGTGATAAAGTAACTTTGGGCGGATTGTGGCCTAGAACTTTGTGCAGTTAATAAATTAGCGGGCCGGTACAATCGATTCTCTAAAATCTGAATTACATTTCTCGACAAGCACGCCCTAAAAACAAAACAGAACAAACACGTCCAACCACTAAGAGAGCGCGCGACGTACTGATCGCAGCGCCGGCGCTTTTTTAACGCTCGTGTGAATAATAATATAAAGTTTCATACGGCCTATTCCCAACGCTCTGCGTTGAAAATGCAACACTGCTCGATAAAAAAGCGTCGCGTTTTAAAAGCGCCGACGTGTGAACACTTACTTGGGTATGCATATGTTCTATTTGAACGCTTTTTTAACGGACGTTAAAAAAGCTCTCGTGTGAATTAGGCCTTACACAAGAAGTACCCCGGTTTTTAAATTTTTTGTAATTAAAAATTAATTAAGTTTTTAAGACCAGAATAAAACTAAGTGTATTTTTTAAAAATTGGCCATGTGCGTGTCGTGCCACGCGCAGTGTAGGGTTCCGTAGTTGTCCGTCGTTAACACAATATATTTCAGAAGCAAGCAATTACTTCATCATCATCATCATCAAAAATTCCTTAGAAGAAAATATTAAAAGTCACTTTTAATGTTTTCTTTTAAGGATTATTTACTAGTTAAGAAATTTTATAATACATGAGTTAAATGACTATTACTCTTAAACCAACTAATGTATCTTAACCGTTATAATTTTCCTTAAAATTTCATGAAAAGCACTATTATTACGATTTTTTCCACATTTTTCAAGCCAACAGTTTAGTTTTTAGAGGGGGGGGACGCCTTACTCGAACAAAAATTGGCACTTTAAACTTTAATAATTTGCAAACAGATCTCTAAATGGAAAAATAGTCTTAGAAACTTCTAAGCTATTTTAAAAGACCTATCCAACGATACTCCACACGATGGGGTAGAAGATAAAAAAAAAATCATCCCCACTTTACATGTAGGGGAGAGTCCCTAAAAAAAATTTTTTTTCGAAATTTTATTCTACCGTTTTGTCGGCGTGATTAATTAATATACATACCTCCACAAAATTACAACTCTATAGTGCCAATAGTTTCCAAACAAAACCTCGGACAGACAGACAGACAGACATATCGAAACTATAAGGGTTCCTTGTCAGGACTACGGAACCCTAAAAAGTAGTGATTTGTAATTATTGGGGAATGGTGTGTACTCGTAATAGTGCATTACTTCGAACAGGCGACACGTAGCCAAGCTCGTTCCAGTCCAGGGCGACGGGCAGCTGGCGCGCCTTGTCCAGCACCTCGGCGTCGGAGTAGGGGAAGCGCTGCGCCTCGTCCGCGCCCGCGCCGCCCGCGCGCGCGCCCGTCAGCTGCTCGCGCTCCACGTCCAGCCTGCGGACACGCGCTGTTCTCAGCCCTGCTCCGCTCGGATTGTCGCATTACACGCTAAACAGATCCGCGGCGTACCCTAGTGTAGTTCTTGCGTCCAGTGTTGTGTTTTAACAAAATAAACCAATCATTAAAAGACAATCATTGAAATGGTAAACTAATATCACTACTCGTATTTCAGGATAAATAAATGTGTAATTTCTTGTTTCGCTTCGTATTTGCGTAGAAAGTGACTATTTATCATTAGTTTTAATTTCGACCGAAAGAAGTTCACAGCTGGACAAAGGACTTCCACACAGACCGCTCCTGCGCTGCTCGCAACCAGGTGCTCCCCGCGACCCTCCCTAGATCGCCGCGTCAGCCCACCGATACATTTCTGCTAGGCGCGACTGACCTGTCGGAGAGGTTGTTGACGCCCGTCTTGAAGGTGGCCCCGAGGCGGTTGGCGGACGACACGTAGCGGCGCGACTGCATCAGCACGTTGTAGCGCACGGCCTCCTCCTCAGCGTTGGCGTACTCCCGATTATATTGGCCGATGAATCTGGAAAAATCATGCACATTATCAGATTTTCTTGCCACTAACTGGAAATAAGATGAAAAATACACGTCTCTTATCTTCTGGATTCATCAACATCATCATTTCAGCCACAGGACGTATATTGCTGAACAAAGGCCTCCCCCAATGATTTCCAGATTGACTGCTTGGTACCCGTAGTACGTGCATCCAGCACCTCATGCTATATTTACGAGGTCGTCTGTCAGTTGGTGTTTTCCGGTACGTGGCCTTCACTTCAGAACTGTGTTGCCCCATCGGCCGTCAGTTCTGCGTACTAATATACCCTGCCCATTGCCTCTTCAGCTTGTTAACCCCTCAATGTCAGGTCAGCGTGCGTGACTCACTCCCGGGCGGCGCCGGCGTGGCGCGGGTCGCGGGCCAGCAGCGTGTACTCGCGCAGCGGCTCGTCCAGCTCCGCGCCCTCCTCCATCTCCTCCGTGGTGTCGCACATGCTCTCTGCCAACAACAGAGCTCAGTTATCTATCGAAATATTTCACATTGCCAATCAATCTCTATATGACTCTCGAAGTATCAACTTCTTCACTGATATACAGGGGCGGATTAAGAGTATCCGAGGCCTTAAGCACAGAGCCTGTGTAGGCCCTCTATTGCTTAAATATTACAAGGAAATTTGTAATATTTATGTGCCATTTCTGTCTTTTTCTCTGTCATGTTTAAGTGATGTTCATCGTAATAAAATTTTCTTTCTTTCTTTCTTTAAACGCCACTTGTATATTTGGGAAACGCACTTTACTTTATCTACACTATAATATGTATTAAGTATAAAGAGGAAAACTTTGTTTGTATGGTTGTAATGAATAGGCTCAAAAACTACTGGACCGTTTTTAAAAATTCTTTCACCATTTGAAAGCTACATTACTTACAAGTAACATAGGCTAAATCTCGATAAAATGTAGGTATGAAATGAAACGCCTCCATCCTCTGCTGGCGCGCCAGCAGAGGAAGGAGGCCCCTGGAGAACAGGGGCCCCAAGCACGTGCTTGTAGTGCTTATACGTTAATCCGCCACTGCTGATATACAAAAACACGATGAGCGTGACTTTCCACGAGTTACGAATTATTTTTGAAGCTTTGAAGAGTCACTGAGGGAGTTACCTGAACTGCTCATGGTCATGTTCGTGGCGTGGTCGAGCTGCTCCTCGCGCGCCTCGAGGTAGCGGTGCACGTACGAGTCCGCGGCGGGCCCCAGCAGCGAGCTGTCCACCGTCACCGAGTACCTGCGCACCGAACACCACTGTCAAATGTCCACGTCGTAAAATTCGTATTACGGTTCTTATGAGATAGGACGGGGTTTACGACGCGATGATGACTTATTATGAAGATGATAACATGATGAGTACTACGGCCACACATTACGGAAATATCGCGGATCTTCCGCTAATAATTGCTTATACATGAGCACATTACGCGGATGATCGGTCGCTCCGTATGCAATAACTTGCTTTGCAGAAGATAGGTGACGGCTTTCCCGCCTAATGTGGCAAAGGCCTAAACGTCCGATCGACGACTGAACGTGTCTGAAATGCCACACGCCGACGTCACGAGAACACATCGTGGCGCGGCGTACGCATGACGCGCGCTGTGTAGGAGAGCATGGCCTGGCGGCCTGAGAGGCTGGGGCTCACTCGAGGGGCAGCGGCGCGGCGGCGCGCTGCAGCAGCAGCTCGTGGCGGAAGGTGAGCGCCTCGCGCGGCGCGGCGCCGTAGTGCCCGGCCTGCCCGTGCAGCTCGAACCTCCAGCTCTCCGCCTTCTTGTCGCCGTACTGCACATATCCTGACGAATCGAAAACAATCAATGCGCGACCTAGTTAAATTAACAATACAATGGGGGAGATTTCTCTCCAGCGATAAACCTATTCAATAAAAAAATAATTATCAAAATCGGACTCTGTAAAAAGTTTATCTGTCGGCTTGAGAACCTCTTCCGTTGTTTTGTCGATTAAATCCCAACTAATATTATAAATGCGAAAGTAACTCTGTCTGTCTGTCTGTCTGTCTGTCTGTCTGTCTGTCTGTCTGTCTGTCTGTCTGTCTGTTACGCTTTCCCGCTTAAACCTCGCAACCGATTTTGATGAAATTTGGCATAGAGATAGTTTGAGTCCCGGGAAAGAACATAGGATAGTTTTTATCCCGGTTTTTGAAACAGGGACGCGCGCGATAAAGTTTTTCTGTGACAGACAAAATTCCACGCGGGCGAAGCCGCGGGCGGAAAGCTAGTATATTTATAAACGCAAAAGTTTGTGAGTTTTTCACAAATAAAGGTAATAAATTGATAGATCTAGATACCTACCATGAAAATAGAAGTCCTTCGTGTCCGGTAGAACTGGCATACGCAAGTCTTCGGGGGAGAGGCTGCTCTGGCGCACGAAGCATCGACGAATCTCGCTTCCTTGACTTCGGTCGGTTAAAGTCTGTTAAAATTGCATCAATAATCTATCTATATAGAGTTGGGGTGGACAGCAGCACTACTTAAGTTGCCGATACAAACAAAAAAACAGAAATATTTGAAAAATGGTAGTCGTGGTAATGTAAAATATCATAAGGGGTGTAAATTATATGGTGGTATTAATTCGAAGAATTTCGTAATTTATTGTGTAACTTGAAAAATAATTGAGATATATTTTTTTCCTTATTTTTCCTTAAGTAGTCATGACTATGTCCATCCTGCGGCGCCGGCTTATCCTTGAATTTTGGGACACGTTGAATAAGAAAGTCGTGTTAGTTACACCACTTATAACTCAAGAACGGCTGAACCGATTTAGCTGAAAATTGTCAGGGAGGTAGTTTAGAGCCAGGAGAAGGACATAGGATACTTTTTATCCCGTTCGAAAGTAAAAAAAAAAGTCTGCTTATTTATTGCCATTAAGGCGGAACAAAGTTCGCCGGGTCAGCTAGTCATTGATATAAGTCGTCATATCAATGCTATGCTACCTACATCTACCTACTTACCTAGTCTAATACACTGACGCTGAACAACATACAAAGTTATACCAAATCAGTTTATTTATTCAGTACAATTAAGAGTATATTATCGGTTGTTATTGAACGGACACATACCGTCACCCTCAGGACCTGGCCGCGGTCCACGACGCGGTGCGCGGCGGCCGCGCCCTGGTTGAGCAGCGTGGTGGCGGAGCCGCTGGCCGGGTCCCACCTGACGCCGTCATTACAACAATCATTTGGTTGACAATGCACTCAATTATGAAGCAATAAGTGTTATTATTACGGTAAGCAGAAAATAAACGATTTAACATTACGAGTACGTACCAGACAACGTAGTTGTCAGAGAAGCCGGCTCGGTAGACGGTGAGCTTGCCGCGCAGCATCAAGGGGCGCTCGAAGCGCGGCGGCGCGGGCGGCGCGGGCGGCGCGCCCGGCAGCGGCGCGGCGGCGGGCCGGGGCGGCGCGGGCGGCGCCTCGCGCAGGTGCCGGGTCACGATGGCGGGCTGCTCTGGCAGCTGGGGTGTCTGAGCGCGGAAGTGCTCAACAAGAGTCTTCAGGGGCACTGGACACCAATCATTCAGACATTATTTAAGTAAACTCGTTGTAAAACGATTAAGAGAATAGGTAATAATATATTTTTAGAAAGAATATTAGTAAGTAATTAGGTATGTATTGCATTTAAACTACTACTAATAGTTCTGTTAGATTAATAAGTAAAATATTATGTTATATTATTTTGGAGTGAGAAAAGAAATAAATAAATAAATAATTAAATTGTTACATCTTTAGACAATTTCACACAGCCCCAAAGTAAGCAATTAATATGCTTGTGTTATGGGTGCTGGTACATTATACTTTTTTTCCAAAGACATATTTTTTATACATAGTAACACACCCAGACCCGCCACATAAATTATAATGCATCATTAATTCAATTTCTGCCCGATCGGGAATCGAACCCGGGACCTTTTGGCGTAGTCCGTTCTGAACAACTAGACTAAACAGCAGAAATATACATCTTTAGTTTTAATCTTAGGTAAATGTACTTACTTGTAAACGGAGTCGGATCATTTTGCTCAGGCTGCGGTGCCGCGTTCTGGTGATGGAAGGGGGGCGGCGGGGGCACGTGTGGTCGGGACAAGTTTGGTGGTGGGGACTGATAGCTGGGCGCCAGGGGTTGTGCCGGAGGCTGCGGGCGAGGGGAAAACGGCGGCGGTGGCGGCAGGGACTGATAGGCGGGTGCTGGTGATTGGGGCTGTTGTGGAGGCTGCGACCGGGGTGTAAATGGTGGAGGTGGCGGCAGTGGTGAATACGTGGGTGCCGGTAATTGGGGCTGTAGGGGGGGCTGTTGTGGAGGGTGCGAGCGGGGTGAAAATGGTGGAGGTGGCGGCAGTGGTGAGTAAGTGGGCGACAGTGGTTGTGGCGACAGGTGCGGCTGTTGCGAATATGAAGGAGGTGGTGGCACGAGTGGATCGTAAGTGGGTGCGGGTGGTTGGGGCGGCGGCGGGCGGGGCGTGAAGGGCGCGGGGGGCGTGTAGGGCGCGGGGGGCGCGGGCGAGGAGGGCAGGTACTTCAGCTGCTGCTGGCGCGAGCTGTAGGGGTCTTCCTTGCTTGAGACCGGCACGGGCAATATGATTATCGGCAACATGTTTCCATCAGTTCCTGTAAGTTGATAAGCATTTTAATTACTAACTATAATCTGGTCTGCGAGCACGTAGAATTTTGTCCAATGACCCCAAGCTACCCATCCTTATCGCTCGCGCGCAATTATATTGCTGTCGCGACTGTGCGACGGGCGCCCGCAGTGAGTGTGCGAGCGCGACAGCAACATAATTACGCGCGAGCGATAAGGATGGGTAGCTTGGGGTCATAATAACCCATCAAAAACAATACTTGTCAAAAAAACCAAGTCTCGCAACTCAGTTGTTCTACGGTAAAAAGTTGTGAGATCCATGTAATACCAAGTCCAGGCCAGGAAATCTTTAACTTTACATAAATTATTGACTTGGCCATCGCACTAAATAATTTAATTTACACGTGTTTTCATGCGATGGCCAAGTTAATAATTTATGTAAAACGTTAAAGATTTCCTGGCTTGGACTTGGTATTACATGGATCTCACAACTTTTTACCGTAGAACAACTGAGTTGCGAGACTTGTTAGGGTTCCGTAGCCAAATGGCAAAAAACGGAACCCTTATAGATTCGTCATGTCTGTCTGTCCGTCCGTCCGTATGTCACAGCCATTTTTTTCCGAAACTATAAGAGCTATACTGTTGAAACTTGGTAAGTAGATGTATTCTGTGAACCGCATTAAGATTTTGATGCAAAAATAAAAAAAATTGTAATAAAAATAAACTTTTTTAAAAACAAGCTTTTATTCTGAATTTCGAAAGCTTGTATCGCGCATGAAATTTATTCCTCTTTTTCTCTGTTTGCGCTACAAGCTTTCAAAATTCAGAATAAAAGCTTGTTTTTAAAAAAGTTTATTTTTATTATAATTTTATTTTACACTTTTTAGTTAATCTCAGGACCTTTGTGCGTGAGTCCGACACGCACTTGGCCGGTTTTTTTGACAAGTATTGTTTTTGATGGGTACAAATATTCTTCTTTTTAAAAGGCCAAAAAAATATTAAAGTAATACAAACATTCCATTTTTAAAAAGGAATAAAATAGTAAGTTGCAAAAGTATTACAAATATTCCACTTTTGAAATAGCATAAAAAATGTGCCAAAATCAACTTGACAAGTTATTTTTTTTTGTTTAACGTCCAGGAAATGCATTAAACTGCATAAAACCCACCAGCCGTGGGGGCCCAGCTTCGGCAGGTTTTGTGGGGCTCTCCCCGCCAGAAGGGCAAGGTCTACCCACTAAAACCTGACGGCGTTCTCGAAATATGATAATGTTAGTCAAGTTAGTTCACAATACTTTACCATTTCAACTTATGTTAATAGGTTTAGTAATTTAGTAAACATTGCTGTGTTGTATACCTCATCACCCACCCACCTACAGCAGCTGGCGCGGAACGCTCGCGCATCACCGCGAGCTCCTGTGGGCTCCCGCGCCCCCGACGGTTTGCCAAGCGGTGCCCATGAGGGTGGAGTGATGAGGAACATCAGCATCAATTCAGTTGATAAGAGTTCTCCTTTAATAACAATTTTATGCAAGCGTCACTAACACGATGACGAGCCATTTTGGGATCCCTACAGCACAAAATACTATTTTGTGTTATCAGGAGTGCTGAATCCAGAAGCTTTTGCCTTTACATCCAATAATTATGTCGTTGGATACATGTATTCACAAATGTTTCGGAATGTGTCATAGTTCACACCACATCCTTAATTATCATGCCATATTTGTGTTTGTTAACTCCTTCAAGTTATCAACTTGATATAATCATCATTTCCTTACAATTCATTTCAATTTTAATACTTTCTTTCGACATCATCCCTGTCGTGCTCTCTAACCACCCTGGAATCGTAAATTTAATTTACTTAACGCTATAAACAAACGCAAACTGAAAAACAGTTTTCCAAGATTTTCCAATTTCATTATTTTGGATTACTTTGCAGTTGTTATTATTAAATTGATATTGTTTACAAGCTTTTATTAAACTTTCAATGTTACTACGAGCACACTACGAGTATGTGTGTCTTGGGTATTTAATTGCAGGTTGAATTAGACCCATTTGTTGATAACCGATTGAGCTGAAATTTTTTATACACGTTTAATTCGGATTCAATCTAAAATGATGTCATGGAGCTGGTCTGATGATGGAACCGGAAGGTGGCCATAGGAACTCAGTAACGAAACGATGAAACCCTATCGAGTTTGGGCTCTTTTGATTTGTCTTAACAAGTGCTTTGTTCTTAAATGACATCCAGGGTCTGATCTGATGATGGAACCGGAAGGTGACAAGATAGGAACTCTGTGAAGAAACGATGAAAGCCTGTCGAGTTTGGGCTCGTTTGATTTGTCTCGACAAGTACTCTGATCTTGAATGATTTCCAGGTTCTGATCTGATGATGGAGCCGGAAGGTGGCCACAGGAACTCAGTGAAGAATCGTTGAAACCCTATCGAGTTTGGACTCGTTTGATTTGTCTTGACAAGTACTTTGTTCTTGAATGACATCCAAGGTCTGATCTGATGATGGAGCCGGAGGTGGCCATTGGAACTCAGTAGCGAAACGATGGAACCCTATCGAATTTGGGCTCGTTTGATTTGTCTTGACAAATAGGTACTGTGGTCTTGAATGACATCCAGGATCTGATCTGATGATGGAGTCGGAGGTGGCCATTGGAACTCAGTAGCGAAACGATGGAACCCTATCGAGTTTGGACTCGTTTGATTTGTCTTGACAAGTACTTTGTTCTTGAATGACTGTTTACAAAATACAAAAAGAAATGAGATCCCATCAAAAACAATACTTGTCAAAAAAACCAAGTCTCGCAACTCAGTTGTTCTACGGTAAAAAGTTGTGAGATCCATGTAATACCAAGTCCAGGCCAGGAAATCTTTAACGTTTTACATAAATATATTGACTTGGCCATCGCATGAAAACACGTGTAAATTAAATTATTTAGTGCGATGGCCAAGTCAATAAATTTATGTAAAACGTCAAAGATTTCCTGGCCTGGACTTGGTATTACATGGATCTCACAACTTTTTACCGTAGAACAACTGAGTTGCGAGATTTGTTTTTTTTGACAAGTATTGTTTTTGATGTGATCTCATTTCTTTTTGTATTTTGTAAACAGTTCTACTTTTTTCCTTTTCGGTACCTTCTACTTATTGTATGTATACCTATCTAACCAGCAACGAATTTTCTTAAAGTCCTCTCTCTGACTTATGAAATTTTCTTATTTTTGTAGGTAGCCTTCCGTTTTCTCTTTTCCGGTTCTACTTCTTGAGCTGAAAACTGGACCGAAATTGAAAAATGTTACTCGACTTGGCGGGGGCACTACCGTGTGCCTTTATATTTAATTTTATATGATATTACAATTTATTTAGGTAAGTAGTTAAATATTTATAAAACTGGACCTATATACATATTTATGAACTGGAATATACCGTGTCTTTACAATGCCTGCATGGATACTAAAAATTCAGTCTTCTAGTTTTATCCACAACGATGATACAGGGGGTCGAAAATGGCCTGAATTGCTTCGAAAAAAGGATGGTACGGCCGTTCCGCTTTTTTGCTCGACTTAGTGGGGGCACTGCCGTGCCCCCAGATATAGAATAAACAAAACTTAATTTAATAGTATTAGGCATTCAATAATGTGTCCTTCCTTACATTTGAACACAGTATAGCTCATTGTATATACTGTGATTTGAATGAATTGCAAAAAAATATCTTTACTTACCAACAGACTTAAATCCAGGAAATACTTCCTGGATCTTCATTAGAAGTTGATGGTATTCTGAAACAATAAAATTCACTTCAAACATTCGCGTCGTCTCAACCTAGTGGCTAGTTCTTTTCTCTAGTAGAAGTGTTTGCTACTTTTATGAGACAAGGATATGGACCTTTTTTATAGGTCATCGTCATTTTCATCGTCAATAATGTCGTCATTGTCGAGTACCTGGAGAGAGCCCGGGCGCGGGCGGCGGCGGGGACGGCGGGGGCGGCGGGGGCGCGGGCAGCTTCACCGGCGCTACGAACAACATTCATTTATTCAACTTCATAGTCTAAATTATTAATTGAGACAATTTAAAACGTCAACGATAAACTTACCGATGACAAAATTCGTGAATTTCAGTGGTCCTTGAGGATTAGTATCTGGAACAATGTAATAATAAATTTTACATTCGGCCAAAGAAAATTTCACTGTCTCGTATCGTACCTACGTAACCGTACGCCTATGTAGGTACCTAATAGGCGGAAAGTGAAAATTCTCACAGAAAGTAGAGTTCGTGGAATGCCTGAATTTTTGTGAAAACAATCGCAATTGTTTTTTTTAATCTGTTAATTATTGTTTGAATATTGTAAATGGTTCTATCATGTCCCACTCGCACTTGACTAATTTATGACCTACATTGGAGTGGAGCTGAGGTACAATTTCAAATACTCGTAGGTACGTAACTTAAACACAATAAACACAATTTGAATTTGAATTTAACTTTACCTCCAATTTGATTAGATTCGTATCTCTGCCGCTCGATCGAATCAGACCGTGCTAGACGCTCTGAAAACATGAATTAGTTATTCAGTGTAGATTTTAGTTATACTTATGTGATAAACTAGGACTAAAAACTAAACAGATTACGTGCATAAAATTATGATTGTGTAATAATAAAAAATATCCGAGGTTAAACTCTTCGCTTACCGAAAAATAAAGACTTAATTTTCAATGGGCCCAAAACGTTACTAGGTGTACCTGAAACAATGAAATAGATCGAATATTACGTTACGAGTATTTACGAGTAGGTAGCGCCTGCAGCCGACAGCTGCGTAGCCGGGCCGTGACGCGGCCGCCACCAGCCGCCGCCACCGTCAGGTCCCACCATTGATCGTCGTCATACGTGTATGTATTGTATTATATTGTAGATTTCATAAGCCAAGCTATAAAAGAAACTCCAAACACGTAGGTATTCCTCTTCTAATGTGTCTTATATTAGGGAAGAATTTTTAAAATTTAACCTCTAAGGGATAATCCTACTAATATTATCCTACCTCCTAGTTACTAATATTATAAATGCAAAAGTTTGGATTTTAATTTTGATTTTGATTTCCCCGCGTAGGGAATTTGGAAATACCTACGTGTTTCAGGTTTGTATGGTTTCTCAGGTCGGTCATTACGAAAACAGTAAGCGATACTGACTTTCTGTGTCCGAAAAAAATCGCGCGTGCAAAGTCATAAAATAGTTTTTATGGACATACCAGCTGCACTGCGCATGTGGCGGGCGCTGTCCGGGTCGGGGCGCGCGTCGGCCAGCGGGTCGGGGCTGCCGGCGCCGGCCGCGAGGGAGCGCGCACTCTTCGGCACTAAGGTGCGCTTCACCAGCACTTTTCGAGCAATTCGTTTTTTGCTTGCTGATTCTTTAGGGAGTTCCGATTGGATGGCTGGAAAATAACATTAAAAGGTCTTGTTGATCGAATTATTTTATTTTATTCCTTTTAGAGCATACATAAGTTTGTTTATAAAAATGTTTTTCCTTTTTACAATACCTGAATATCATTATTAATTAAAATACGTACATAAAGTACGGCCAACTATACAAAAGGTCGATTCGACTGTCGAACTGATAATCTATTCTGTCTCTTCCCATCTTGAGTATTTGTCGTAATGTCTCGTTCTCCCGCCAAAATATGTCAAGTCAAACCCTTAGGCTGGGTTGTTGCACCATCTTACTTTAACTTTGACAAACGTCAAAAATCTGTCAAATTCCATACAAAAAGCACCGGTTATCGTCATAGTTACCGTCAAAGATAGGTGGTGCAACCCACCCCTACTATTCCAAATGACCATTGTTTACATTTGGTATCGCTTCTCGTTGACCGTACCACTGTTCAGAACCTTTACTGGATGTTTCTTTCACGCAAAAACTACCTACTGAACGGATTTTGTTGAAACTTTACAGTATTATTGTTTACTAGCGGCCGCCCGCGACTTCGTACGCGTGGATCCTGTTTTACCCCTTTCATCTATCTTACGCGGTTTAGATTTTTTCATACAAATGTTTTTTCCCGCTAACTCCCGTTCCCGTGGGAATTTTCCAATATCCTGTTGTAACTAAGCTTTAAGTTTACTAAGGTACCTGCATGCCAAATTTCAATCGTCTAATTTAAGCGGTTTAGATTTATCAAACAAAAGGATTTTCCCGCTAATTCCCGTTCCCGTGGGAATTCCTAAGTATACTATAACCTGCCCAGGAGTATGAAGAATAATTGTACCAAGTTTCGTTAAAATCCGTCTAGTAGTTTTTGTTTCTATAAGGAACATACAGACAGACAGACAGACAGACAGACAGACAGACAGACAGACAGACAAAAATTTTACTGATTGCATTTTTGGCATCAGTGTCGATCACTAATCACCCCCTGATAGTTATTTTGAAAATATATTTCATGTACAGAATTGACCTCTCTACAGATTTATTATAAGTATAGATAACCCAGATTATTTTAACATATAGGCTATAATTTATGATGATCTGTGACAAACTAAATTTCACGCGGGTGAAGCCGCGGGCAAAAGTTAGTAACCTATAATTTATGCCGATCTGTGACACTAAATTTCACGCGGGTGATACCGCGGCCGCGGGCAAAAGTTGGTTCATTATATTCATGATCTTTTGTCTTGATGAATAATAAAATCTTTGTATAGGGTGTTTTTTTAGAGGTATACAACTTCAAAATGAAATAAAATATGTAAAAATATATTTTATTCATATGGTATTGGTCTTGTTTAAAAGATGTTCTTATGGCATTTAATGCTTCAAAATGATTTCAAGCCTAAGGGTGCCACATTGGCTCAAATGTAGCGTAATCGAGATGTCCAATTTTCAATTTCTTTTTCGGGCAACTGGGGCCATACATTGGCAATAACGCGACGAATGTTGGCAGTGAATTCCGTAGTTTATCTGCGCCACAGATATGGATAGAGATCTGCGCAGTAGTGGACTTCACATATCCCCAGAGAAAATAATCCATAGGTGTGAGATCACCCGATTGTGGAGACAAAATCAAAGATCCATCAAGTGAAATTATGCGCTAATTATAATAAATTGAATGTGTCGCGTGCTGGTTGGATGGTAACAGCACCTTGTTGAAACCATAGCTCTGCCACATTAATATCATTCATCTGAGGAATGAAAGTTATGAAAATTACGTCGACCGTAATATGGACGTTTGTATGGAAAAATGAACCATGATTTTTAAAATACATTTTTACACAATTTGCAAGCGTTTGTTCTGAAGTAGGTAATTCTATTTAATTATGAAATGCCAAAACCTACTGTCCACAAATGTACCACCAACTATCAAAATAACTATCACTAGAAACAGTGTAACCAATTTAAAGTTGTATAGATACCTCTATAAAAAAACCGGCCAAGTGCGAGTCGGGCTCGCACACCGAGGGTTCCGCCGTACAAACGTAGCGGTTTACAATTTATGACGTATTAAATCAAATCACTTACTTGATTCCGTTGCGAGTAGTGGCGAATTTCAAAATATGCGGTATGATTATTTTTTATTTATTTATTTTTCCTATATTTGCATTATAGGTAGGTACCTACCTCAGCGTTTTGAATTTTTGCGTTGATTTAGAATTTCTCACAGTTTAGAGGCAATTAGATTTAAGAAGTGTTTGATATGAATTTCAACTTTAATATCTCTACGCGTTCATGTGAAAAAGGGTAGGTAGTAAGTTTATAATTATTAAAAAAATATTTTATGTCATGTAAGCAAAAATAATATTTTAAATTTTATATAACTTCAAATTTATCATTTTCGCAATTTTTCCTTTATGTGTACTATATAACGTTGCTTCGTGCCGAATTTCAAGATTCTGAGTTCACAGGAAGNTTTCGCAATTTTTCCTTTATCTGTACTATATAACGTTGCTTCGTGCCGAATTTCAAGATTCTGAGTTCACAGGAAGTACCTTGTAGGTTTTGATTCCCTAGCGTGTGACGGAAATTCGTCTAAGGTGTCGGTATAAACTGCTGTATCTTTTGATCGCGTTAACTTAGAAGTTTGATTTTTTTACTTCTTAAAGGGACAATAGATCTAGGTATTTGGTATAAATTTCAATTTGATACCTTTATTCGTTCGTGAGAAATAAGGTAGTAAGTTTCATTTTATTAAAATATTTTTATTATATTATATAACTAAAAAAATGAAATTTTCGCAATTTTTCCTATATTTGCATTATATGACAATGCTTTATGCCAAATTTCAAGATTCTGAGTTTACGGGAAGTATCCTGTAGGTTTTGATTCCTTTGCGAGTGTCGAAAATTTGTTGAAAATATCGACATAATCGGCTGTATCTTTTGATTGGCTTGGCTTAGAAGTTTGATATTTTCACAGCTTAAAGGGACAATAGACCTGAGTATTTCATGTGAATTTCAGCTTGATACGTTCACGCGTTCTTGAGATAAAGGGTCTTGACAGACGGACGGACGGACAACAAAGTGATCCTATAAGGGTTCCGTTTTTTCCTTATGAGGTACGGAACCCTAAAAACACCCGTTATAATCGATATTGTTTGGTAAGTGAAAGTAATGTCCCAGTTATTGCAGAGCAGGTGATTAAGACGCGCCTGTTCCCCGCGATAGCCAGCCGTGTGGAGCACACGAGGCCCCTTGGTATTTGTGGTATTAGGTATACTCACACGTGCCTAATTGCGTGTTAAGCACCAATCTCAAGCGTCTCGTGTCCGGGACGCGTGAGAAGTTGGTCAATAAGTTATACCTGAGATTACATATTGAGCAGTGACCATGGACTATGACATATTTTAGTTATTTTTATAGCTCTCAATCTAATGTCAAGTGGACTAGAACAGAAAGGTCAAAGTCACACTATTACAAAATGTGACTAAAAATCTTGAATCGCAATCATTTCCATAAATTCTGTATGGTCTAAGATCCGAACTAGAAGCGATCTGCAACCCTCCTGTTTATTCAATGATATAAATCAATTTCAACATGTTCAAAATATGTCGCGAATGGGTTGCCAAAAATCCTGGACACACTATTAGTGAATAGAGATAGAAAATTATTTTACCTGCTTAGTATAAACGGGTCTTACTAAAATTGATTTATTATTTATCTTTTCATTGAATAAACAGATGGACAGATGGGTGCAGGTATATTTCGGATTTCGGATCTTCTACTATGTATAACAAAATGTTAACTAGGGTACGAAAAGAAACAACATTTTTTGCCTATTAATTAAACCAAGCGGCTTTTATGACGTTTAGTGGCCAAAGCTATTTATCATTTTTAGGGTTCCGTAGTCCTGACAAGGAACCCTTATAGTTTCGTTAGTTCGTTAATATTGGAACGTGTAAAAGTGCTTTTTAAAAGCCTATTTGCAAAAACATACGGGTCGAATTGAGAACCTCCTCCTTTTTTGAAGTCGGTTGAAAATAAATGAGTTTTATGAGTTTTTTTATGAGTTATGTCTGTCCGTCCGAGGTTTAGCTTGGAAACTATTGGCACTAGAGAGCTGTAATTTTGTGGAGGTATGTATATTAATCACGCCGACAAAACGGTAGAATAAAATAATTAAAAAAAATTTTTTTTTAGTGTAGCTCCCCTTTATGGTCTACTCTCCTTTATGGTCGGCTCCCTTTATACTCACTTTTATGTAAAGTGGGGATGATTTTTTATGAAGTCTTACTTCTTATAACATTAGAATAGGTTACTTAAGTTGCTCTTTGTCTTCAATGTTAAATGCAAGGAAAAAAAATAACTCATAATGTTTAATTATGTGCTTCTATCCATATTTAATTATAGGTGTATAAGTGAAATATTAAGTGTAGATCTAAAAGTCATAATAATTATGAAACGCTGTGTTTATCCTGCACCTTACACAAGGCAATTAGCAAGTTCATTGCGCAGTTCACGAGTCTAATAGCTTTTGATTTTTAGATATGTATTGACTGACATTTTAGTTTTTCCTTAATTACCCATCGTAACCATTTTGATGTTGTTAGAGTTGACCCCAGGAATCTGGCGCAACCAATCTATATAGGCAATTAATGAAACATTCGCATTCACTAGATAAGTTCAAGTAATCCTTGTTGTGTATTGTGTTACCTACGCCGGTCCCCAACAAAACATACAAAATGATACAAATATGTAGAGGAAGTACCTCGCGAGCAAAAGTATGGAATCACTTACATGAAGTTGTTTCCACGCGATCTTGTGTACTAACCAATTTGTTAGTAACAAAAAAAGTAGCACCATTTTAAAGATTAAACTTTTAACTTTAAATTGATACCAAATTCATTTAAATCACACCAGTATTTAAAAAGATATCCCGGCTGATGTGAAAAAGTAAGGAAAAAGGCATGTATCAACTGTTTGATACGTCGCGAGTTGCGGCCTATTT